CAAGTACCTGTGTAAGATTCCTGGTTATAAAAAAATTATAAAGAATGAAGAAGAAGCTAAAGTGTTTAGTGACTGTTTGAATAAAATCGTAATAGTTAATGATATTTTTTGTAAGAAGTGTCGACTTATCCCATATATTAACAAAAAAGCTTCTACTTCTAAATGTGCAGCATTTAACTTGGCCGAAATAATGGACGATCAAAATAATCTCTCAGTACAATATGTGAAATCAGCACCTAATATCATCAAAGCAGAAGTAAAATCAAGACATATAAATAGAAAAGTCTATCGAATTTACATTCACTATATTTCCGAAGGTAATGACTACAATAGTATTCTTCGTTATTGCTGTGATTGCCCCAATGGCGAACGTACAGTGGGATGCTGTTCTCATGTAGCAGCTATTATTTATTATCTATCATATGGACGATATTTGTCCAAAATCGTACGTCCTGATGAGGTCCTAACTAAGTTATTTGCGACTCAAAGTGTTCCGATTGTAATTAATTACAACAGTGACGATGATTAATATTTTGTTTCTTGTATTTTGATAGACACGAAAAAGTAATAATAATAAGTATTGAACACTGGCTGTTTTTTTTTTTCATTTCTTTTTTAACTATTATCCCATCTCTTAAGACTAGTTACTTATGTTTTAAAACAAGCTGATGTGAAATTTCGAAAAAAAAACAATGATGTAATGTGAAAACCTTATAATACAGGGGTATACCATAAGACAGAAATCACATATAATTTTTTTTCGTTGTGTTGCACCAACTTTTTTTTCACGCAATTTTTATGGGTAATAGAGCACACAAAGGAGCATAACATATATTAATTTCGTGATTGTAAGTCACAGAGAACTCAGAAAAAAAACATGTTTTTTTTTATTTTTATTTTTTTAATGTAATTTTTTATTCTAAAAATTATAAAAAAATATATGTGATATACTCTGTAATGTAACCTAACACCTCGCGTTAGTTTCACTTCTTTATCTTAATTAGCTTCAGAGATATATCACATTCAGTAATAGTCAAGCATACGGATATTTTGCTCTCTATCTCAAGGTCAAAGCGGAAGTCGGTCGCGAAAAGTACATAAATCGTGTTTGAACATCAAGTCTATATTAAAACATAAGTTTCAATATCGATTCCCATTTGGGGGCCGACTCGTCATACGTATCCGGCGATTCTGACTGAGTTGGTGACTCAGAAGCTTTGCATATATAAACCGTTTCTGTATCTTTACTCAATCTTTACGTGGTGAGAAAAAAACATCCAATATTTTCACCAGAAAAATAAAGTGAGCGAGAAATTGTCATTCGGTTAGATTAAAACTGCGACTAATACAAAAAGCGAGCGAAGCGAGCCATAAAAAGTGACCAATTAGAGAGATTTGATTAATTGGTAAGGTAAGAACTGTGACTAAAATAAAATGCGAGCGAAGCGAGCCATAAAGAACACCACCAATAGAAATCTGATCAATCGGTTATGATTAGCACTGTGACTCAAACAAAAAGCGAGCGAAGCGAGCCATAAAGGTTAACTATTAAGAGAGACCTGGTCAATTGGCAAGGTTAAAGGACTGTGACTAAAATAAAAGAGCGAGCGAAGCGAGCCATAAATGCGACACCATTCAATAGAGGCCTGGTCAATCGGTTATGATTAGCACTGTCACTAAAACAAAAAGCGAGCGAAGCGAGCCATATAAGTTACTGTTAATGAGAGACCTGGTCAATTGCGTAAGGTTAGAACTGTGACCAAAATAAAGATGCGAGCGAAGCGAGCCATAATGCTACACCATCAAGAGTGGCCTGATCAATCGAGTTATGATTAGCAACGTGTCTAATACAAATAAGCGAGCGAAGCGAGCCATCAATAAATGGAGACCTGGTCAATCGCTTAAAGTGACTGTGACCAAAATAAAGAGCGAGCGAAGCGAGCCATAATGCGAGACCATTAAGAGAGACCAGATTAATCGATTATGTTAGCAACTGTGTCTAAAACAAAAAGCGAGCGAAGCGAGCCATGAGGAGTAACTGTTAAGAGAGATATGGTTAGTTGGTAGGGTTAGAACTATGACTAAAATAAAATGCGAGCGAAGCGAGCCATAAAGGACACCATCAATAGAGACCTGGTCAATCGGTTAGATTAGATCTGCGAAAAAAACAAAAAGAAAAAGCGAGCGAAGCGAGCCATAATAAATGGAGACCTGGTCAATCGGTTAAGGAACTGTGACCAAATGTGCTTATAAGTGTGCTAGAAAATGTATCACGGTTATTTTTCATGGTTTTTACTTTATAGAGCAGATTTTGGCGTTATTGATAACATTTTTCAGATCACTTACAGAAAAAAAATGTATTCAGTTGAAGTATTGCCGGATGATAAAAACAGTTTTTCTTTTTTGATATTGTGATTTTTAGGAAATTTTCTATTGAATAAGAATAAAAGACTACAAGGCGATGTATACAACCTTTATTTTAAGTTTTCTTACGTTTTTCAACTGAATATTTCTTTTTATATTGCGTGTAAATTGGCAACCTTTTCTTGTGTATGATGTTTTGCGTACTTAAAGATCTTTTATTTGAAGATAGAACTTACTAACTTTTTCTAGGCTATTTTATACTGTATACCCAACATAACAAGAGCTGGTCTTGAGACTCCAATGTCTGTACTAACTAAATATTAACTTACTTTTTATATAAAAATAAGAGAATAAATGAAGCCGATCCATTCCAAATTTTATTTTAGTTTTGCTTGCGTTTTTCAACTGAATTTTTCTTTTTCTATTTAATGTAAACTGGCAACCCTTTTTATTTTACGAATGGAGCTTTGTGTAGTTAAACATAATTCATTTGAAGATAGAACTCACTAACTTTTTCTAGGCAATTTCAAACTGTAAACATAACAAGAGGCGAACCTCAAATCCCACCGCTCCGGTTCCACAAGCGACTCGTTTATAAGTAAAGCAACAAAAACTTCCATAGGTTTATTATGACATATGGGTTAGGTTAGGTTAGTGTATGAAAAACAACGCACGAGCCGAGCGAGCGTAGCGAGCGTGCCGCGGCAGCGGCCGGCGAAGTGCCAGAAACGAATCGCTTTTGTTGATGGTAACATTTGGTTTATAATGTTTAAAAGATGATCGTGATCATTTTAATTTCAATTTTGATTTCGATGGACTTGACAATTCGGGGTCTTTATAGCGTGTATATATGGACCATTTGTGTAGAAATCTTTACCCACACTTTCACATACTCAAGTATGGAGAAAAAAAAATCTAATTTTTGACACGATATTTAATACTTTAAACATATTTTTCTATACTTTTAGATTATTGAGAAACATGTTCTTTTGATATTCAATATAAAAGTGTTCTACGTATGTATGAGTTTGAAATTTGACATTTATTTATTTGGTGTATTATTTAAGGTAACACTGGGGGAAATATCTACTTGATCCTTTTTCATACTAATTCTAAACTTACTATTGAATAAGAATAAGAGACTATAATTTATTTAGCGTTTTGCTTGCATTTTTCGACTGAATATTTATTTTTCTATTGCGTGTAAACTTTCAACCCCTTTTCTTTGATGTATGGTATTTTGAGTACTTAACCACCTTTCGTTTGAAGATAGAACTTACTAACTTTTTGTAGACGTTCTCAAACTATAAACCAAACTCTACAAAAAAAAAATCGAAAGACACAAATTCCGCAACGAAGTTGGACTTAAAACCTAACCGCCCCGATTCCACTAGCTACTCGTTACCCCTCCGGCTGCTCGCAGCCCGGGGCAACCAAGCGAAAGCTTCTATTCTGAAACGAAGGCGAACTTAAAACCCCATCGCGTCGTGAATTGATCTATTCGAATATCTGGCCCCGACATCGGTTCCCTTTTCATATAATAAATAAATCTTACATAAATAATGTAATGTAATAATGCAATTGACATTTAATTGATTACATTAATGATAGTAACACTGATGGAAATATATGTTCGATTGTTTTTTAATATTATACAGTAATTTACTAATAAATAAGAATAAGAGAATAAAAGACAAAACTTATTTTAAGTACATATACAAAATTTATTTTAAGTTTTGCTTGCGTTTTTCGACTGAATATTTCTTTTTCTATTAAGTGTCAACTGGCAACACTTTTTCTTTGATGTATGGTGATTTGTGTCCTTTAACGCCTTTTATTTGAAGATAGAACTTACTGATCTTTTCTAGGAAATTTCAAACTGTAAACCCGACAGAAACAATAGGGGGACTTGAAACCCCACCGCCCCGATTCCACCAGCTACTCGTGACCTCCCCGGGCTGCTCGCAGCCCGGGGCAACCAAGCTTAAACTTATTATGAAAAACAAATGTTTTATTTGTCATGTGACGGCAAACGTTAAAGCGTTAACCTATAAAGTATATAAAAAACAGCTCGTGACGTCACGCTCCTCTCACATTAGAACTTAGAGGATTGAACCTTATGCATACTAGAACGATATTAGTTTTAAAATATTGAACTCGTTCTTTTTCGTAATTATTATAGTACGACAATACTTTGAATTAAAATGTCACATGACGTCACGCTTTTGTACATTTTCTACAAAACTGTGGCATAACGAGCTCCCACTCCTCAACTTTATAACTGTTATCTATTTCATGATAAATTGTATTAAAAACAATACGTATCTAAAACTTTTCTACCGTCTGACTGACGGGCTAATTAGAATCGAACGAAAATTGAGAAGTTTATCTGAACATCAGAGTTTAAGAGTGTAAATGTCCACAAATGACGTCTGATTTATATATACTATAACGGTAGTAGAAACGTGATATGACACCGGATTTATGTTAACAGGTTAGTGCAACAGGTGAAAGATGTGAATAGTACAAAAGCGGAATTAAATTCGGCCACGAATAAGATACAAGCTGAGTACGACAACTTGGTGGCAGTATGTAGACTGAAGGAAGATATCATGAACGATATGGACCGCGTGGTGATGCTGCTTCAGGCCAGTAGAGCCGCCGACGTTATAGCACTAATTGACGGTAAGTGAGCGGGGGGCTTAATCGGCTTGTTGTATACTTTTTGGTCTGAGTGTTGTGATACCTTCGTTGTCTCAGATACTCCATAATACGGGGACTTTAACTACTCATCTTGGAATCTGAGCAATGTATGTGATGTTGTTAAATATTTATTTATTATATTTATTTTTTATTTTATAAATAAACAATCCATTAATATCTGAATAATAATACTGACGTGATAGCATATATGTGATTAATAGTTTCGTTTTTTTTTCTATACCAAACTAGATTGCGTCATTGTTTGTGGTGACATGAATATGATTAGTGGCGGATATATCTTTATCGACATCGTGTCATCAATAAAATTCTGAAATGTTGTAATGAATGTGCTAATGTGAAAATGTAAATTTTGTTTTAGATATGCTAATTCAAGTCTATAAACATTTATTTGTTATTATTTTGTGCATTGAAGATTCTCGGAACATCTAAATGTAAATATGTAATATTATTGCATCCACAATAATAGTTGTCTGTTGCATATGAAAAAATATTTTTTTATTATTTCAACTTATTTATTTCATAGTGTTTTCTAAGTTTTCAAACATTCCATACAATACTATGTATATTTACATTATTTAACTTATTTTATACGAACATTATTTTATACGTATTGATAAAAGTTGTAATTTATTCATATTTTATTTTACATTAAATACAAAAATATATAGTGTATGTATCTATGACAGATATTGACAATTACAACATATCATAATACTTGTGTCACTTCACTAGCAATGCAAGTGTGACGTAGCAAATGGGGCGGTGCTTCTCAAAAATTGACACGCTCGATTGCTTCAAAACAATCGTATATCGTCATTCTAAAATAATAAAAAATATTAACATACATAATATTTTTTTTGTAATATATTTTCTCCGTTTTTCTTTAAAACTTACTTTGCCAAGTATTTATCTGTTAAAATGGGTCATATTTTCTATTGAAGTTAAATTTTTACGTTAACGATACACAGCTTATATTGTTAGTATAGTTGGTCCCAAACTTCAAAAGTTATTTAGAGCAGCAGTGCGGTAACATAGTGTACTCTATCTGAATGTGCATAGAGTATAGTACCCAGTTCGAAATAACTGCAAGGGCGAGCTAGAAGTTTCTTCCTTCATCTTCTATCACTGCGTTATAACCATAACTGTATATATAATTTGTTTTTAGGGATGAAATGTAAAGTTCGTAGTATATTAGCATTATGGGATCCTAATGCGGTGGAGGAGTCTTTGTCTTACATTGGATGGCCTAAAAACAACTGCAATCAAGAAACAGACAGTCAGGTATTTGTTTGTTTTTTGTAGAAGATATTTTAAAATAGTGGTGATGTGATATTTTGTGGTTTTATTTTATTTTAAAAAGTTGAGGTTTGTTGTACATAATATTTATTAGAGTAGATTTGAGTCTATAGTACGAGCTGAGTATTTTGATAAATTGACATACCTGTACATAATTGCGTTTTAAAACAGCGTAAACTTTATTCTGGTGGCGTAACATTATAATACAACGTCAAAGGGTGCGAATAAATCAAAAATATGATCTTCTTCCTCTTCTTCTGCATACCTCTTGTTAGAACGAGATAAATATACTTGCATAGCTTCACGTGTCAACTGCTGCGTCCTCATAGTGTTATTTTTAATACATCATTGAGTAATTAATGGTGCTATTGTACGCCCAAAGATTTCTGTTATAATGGTTACTGCAATGAATATGACCACTTTGGTCGAGTGGCAAAGTGTCATCAACTCCGAGGTTCTGTCTGAGCTATATAAAAATGTATATATTTTTATATTTTTTCGGGTCTGGTTGGAAATGCATCTTAAAATATTTAACATGTGATGTTGTCGAATATTTTATTGAAATTTTTATAATAAAGATGTATTAATAGAAACATCTTATGAGTACGGAATCATAAAATACTTATGTATTGATTTTTTTATAAAGTCTATTTATTACCAATGACTTCATGTAATTACTAGTCAAGTAATTCGTGTCGTCTCAGGTGTGTAGAGCGGGTGAGGAGAAATGGCAGTAACGTGTGAGTGACACGGCATTATGAAACGTTGGATACTCCCAACAGATGTTAGCGAGCTACTTTTCTATACAGCAAAGTTTATCTAGTTTTATACGTAGTAGTATTTAACGTTTTCAGACGATGGCCACTATAGTGCGATTGACCGAGCAACTGGGCGTATTCGAAACAATGAGTTCAGATTGTGATACATTCGATGCGTCGTCGAGTTCAAGTTCGAAGGAAACTTCGCCAACGGTAGATCTGCCTACTTTAACATCTAGCGTACCGAACATGTGTCCGGGAGATTGCGGGAAGAATACAAAAACTAATGACAACACCGGACTACATTTCCATCACGACTACTTCAAGAGCGAAAGAGAGGAGAGAAGCTGGCATTCGTTTCGCTCCGTACGAGCGAGGCCGAGATTGAACGAAACCCAGAGTTTGTCCTTCGAATCTAATAAGACGAGACACGGCAGCCTGAGATACGATAATAAATGTTCAGCGTCACTGGAGCAAGTTTCGTATAAATGTCTAATGGACAATCTGACTGCGAGCGACAAGAGAAAGGTAATTGTTTTTCACTCTATCTTCGTGTTTCTAATGGTTGAATGAATGAATGCTTCATTGTAATTAAATAACAAGACTATTGATACAGCTTACTGGTAGTCAGGAGTAAATAAATAAACAATCAATTAAATAATTTGAAAAGGTATTTTTTAAAACTAATTATTGCGAACATTTCCATATAATAAAAAAAAAAATTGTAGGCAATGAGTATTGTTTGAACAAAGCTATTTTATTAATTATCTAATTTTTAGTCTAAGTGACCCGAAACTTCGCATCGAGCCAGCTTAAAATTAGTTTTATTTAATAAGTAGAGCGATTGAAAATATAAGGAACAAGTATGCTATATATAGTTGCTCGGTGGCGTAGTGGATAAGTGCAGCGACCTGTGATCGTTGTTGTTAAGCCACTTTTGCGACGGTCGGTCATGGGCTGGGTGACCAAAAAATTCATATCCGTTTTTCGGAAGCTACATTAAGCCGTTGGTACCGGCTGCATTTGCATTCGTTAATACTCTCCAATCCGCATTGGGCCAGTGTAGAGGGTTATAAGCCATCATCCTTAACCATCTATAAGGCTGATGGTGATGATGTTAATGGTATATTAGAAGCTCAATGGCACAGTGGTTAGCGTATTCGGTGTGTGACGCAGATGTTAAGTTAATTGTAATTAATTTCTTGCTTCGGGAGGCACGTTAAGCCGTTGATCCAGGTTGCATTTTCAGTTGTTAACACTCACCACTTCGCGCTGGGCCTGCATGGTTGGTCATGGTCCATTCTCCTTATTCGATTCGATATCCTCTATATTAAAAGACGAAATTGCTGTGCTTTTAAAATAATCATTTGAAACACTTGTTATCATATGAAAATTGGAAACAATAGTGGTATCATGAATCAGAAACATTCTGGAAAATTATAGTTTCAAGACAGAGTATCGAATCCTACGACCCCTGAACAAGACGTGTTATAGCTTTAACGTGGTGCTTTGTGGTGTAGTGGTTACAAAAACTATGTATTCAAAAAATAATTATAATGTAACTCTTTATTATATCAATATAGAATATCAACTCTCTTATTGTCTGGTGCAAGTTTGTTGCAAACATGTATAATTATTGTGCGATTGCAATTTTTTTGTTAATAATAAATAAATGAGTTGTGTATACATTTAGGCTGAGATATGTGATAATTTAGTTTAGTGCATATTTATTGGTTTTGCGAAGCGTTATTGTGTTTGCAAATGGCGAAATGTTTTTCACAAACAAAAGGATGTGTTTATCAGATGAGTAAATGGCGATTTGTAAGATACGTTCAGTTCTCTTTGTCTAACCTCAATCAGGGTGAAGATATAGATGGACAAGACTCGTATACAGTTTTTGATAGGTAAGGTTCAAGTCAAATGTAGGTGAAGATAGAAAACATATGTCAAGTTGCGCCCAACAATATTTAAAAAAAATTGATATTTTATGTCGCTTTTCTTTTATTTATTACACATTTGCAGAAATACCTAGCGAAATTTTCAATAAATGTGTGAAATCTATTGAGGATTGTACGTTACATAAAAATTATACGATCACATTTATATCTACTTTACGTTTATGTATTATTTTCGTAATGCAAACTAGGTGATAATATTGTCACCCTCGTATGATGTAGCTTCACGTAGGTGAAAGAATTTTTATGACCTAAGATTATCACCTTCAATCAAAATAACAGTTTTAGATTCGTTACCTCTTTATAATATTAGCATAGATTGGTAAAATCATACAGCGAAGTATGTCTTGTGTTTTTAATATGAATATTTTGGTAAATAAACCCGAACTAAACATTGGCTTATTTAATCGATTGTAACCAAGCTTTGTGCTATATCTATTGGTATTAGATTATGTGTTTATGTATATTTGTTACTAGCTTTCCGCCAGCGGCTTCGCCCGCGTGTGAACTCTAGTGAACTGTTTATTTGGTTATCGATTGCTGTTATCATAGCATAGTTTTTCATATATATATTTTTGGTATCTTGAACCGTCGCAGCGCACGCAACGGAACCCTCAAGGATGAATAATTTTTCCCGCTTTTTCCACATTTTCCATTACTTCTTCGCTCCTAATAGTTGCAGCGTGATGTTATGTAGCCTAAAGCCTTCCTCGATAAATGGCCTATTCAACACAAAAAGAATTTATCAATTCGAACCAGGAGTTCTTGAGATTAGCGCGTTCGAACAAACAAACAAACTCTTCAGCTTTATAATATTAGTATAGATTTATCCTAGAAAGGACCAAATTCACTCTATCACGGTCTCTTTTTACTCAGCTATTGTCAATCAGTATTTGATAAACCGAACATATTGTATGTTGCAAATGCGAATTTTCGTGGTTTTTAGGGTAGTGCGAATGCTTAATATGTTAAAGTGCATTTATGGCTGATTGTTTCACATACAAGTGCTATTTTACTTATGTTGCCGAAATATAAGGCGTCAAATTGTGTTAGCGCTACAATACAAAACATCTGACCGCATCGGTATAGTATACGTATAGCTAAACTTTTTAATAATAATACTTTGTACTTTATAATAATAATATAAAAAAACATTTTTAATAGCAAACGATATGGTTCTTTTACGATAACATTGCTAAGAGTAAAACGACAGGCGTTTTGAAGGTTCATCATAATTTTTTTATGTTATTTTGAGTTTCCGGTTAGAACAAAGTGTAGTTTTTTGCTAGTTTTCTACACAAAGTTTATGCTTTCTTTTGGTATAATTGCGATTAGTGAACACTCCCGGAATTTAGTGGTCCTAAAAAAATTTGCTCTTTTATAGAAAGAAAGAAAGAAGGTTATTGACTACATCTGTTCATGTACAATAATAAAGTGTAAGAGAGAAAAAAAATACAAACATTTCCATGAAGTAACAGAGCGGTCAACATGGACCCTATCTCAGCGATGGGCCCTGTGCCACTTCAAGATGGGCAAAATGACACAGAGGCGCTGTTATTCTGATAGGACCCTTATAGTGAATAATATATATCACTAGCTGTTTTCTCACGACAATACCCTATGTCACCAGCGTATGATGACACGCATAATTATGGTTCAGTCTTTAAAAACTTTGCTCCCTACAAACAAACAAAGTTTACCTCTTTATAATATTAGTATATACAACAAGTCTAATAAAGTTCTCACTGTTGTGACACTGGATTCTATCTAATCCTACCACTTGGGAAGAGCGCACTACCGCAACCATGTGGACTTTAGTTTGCTGGTGTTAATGATTCATATGTCATCGTCCTATTACTTCACCCATTGCTTAAGCAGTCTTCCCTATAGATGGTATGTAATAGGGAGGATGTGGCATAACTCACTATTTGGGTTCATTTGGTTTGGTGGGTGTTAACGTCTATTCGGCGGGCTCATTGATTTTTCGTCACCCTCCTTTCTTATGATGGCTAAGGAGGATGGGCCAATGAGGATTGGAGGGTATTAACGACTGCAAATGCAGCCGGGACCAATGGCTTCACCTGCCTCGAAGCATGGAGTAGATGGAGAAAATAATTATTTATTCACCCATGTGACCGACCCTTGACCGACCCTTGCGAAAGTAACAATAATGATTTTATTCTGTCGGCCTTGCGAATTTATTGCTCTTAGTTCTCGAAATTCGACCATAAAGTGTCATTATGAGAGTCTTTCTTTACGATTGTTTGACATTGAGTAAACAAAAATGTTAGCATTCCATTCATCATAATTAGCATTAATTAGCATTCATCATAATCACTACATAGTATAAAACAAAGTGGCTTTCTCTGTTCCTGTATTCCTATGTATGCTTAAATCTTGAAAACTACGCAACGGATTTTGATGCGGTTTTTTTTTATAGAAAAGGTGATTTCAAAAGATTTTATGTATAATACAAGACAACGAGGGCGAAGCCGCTGGCGGAAAGCTAGTTTTTTTTTATATATATTCATATAACTGTGGCGAATTTTAGTTTTCTTCGTCTGCGCTATTTACCTATAAACAGATGGTCTGCATATTTGCGAATGTTTATTTGTGATTATAATAATAAAGATTATTTTCTGGGACTAACTAAAATATTATTTTACACTAATAAAAATAAGCTGCGTGTTATGGTTATCCTGTAAGATAACAACCCAATAAAGCCTATTTCTTAGAAACTTGATACAAAATATGTTTAACTTTAGTATAATAGCGTAAAGAAAATGCAACCATTTTTCCTCCTTGATATAGTCGGTACTACACGTTATCCCCCACATCCATCTTTCTCCTAACTCCCACCGTAACCTCGACTTGTTCTTGCTGGGATCGTTTTCTGTGAATCTCCATATCCGGTTCCAAAACGTCGAGTTTAGTTCGTAATCGTCTGCCTATCCAATCCTTCGAACGATGTCGGTTATGTTAGTTCTCCTACGGATTTCCTCGTTTCTTATGCGATCACGTAGCATTGCCTGCTAGGTGACTTTGATCCTTTTTATGAGATTAATAAATGACTACGTTTCACTTTTGTAGGTCATCAGTGGCAACACACACTGGTCGAAGATTTTTGTTTTGAGACACTGAGGTAGATTAGAGTTCCGAGTTGGATTTGCCGAGAGATCTTTTTCTCAAAGTTGAACTTACCCAGCTGGACTGTCTGTCCAAGGTATACGTAATGGTCGACAACTTCGAGTGCAGTATTCCTAAATTCGACTATAGTAGGTACTACATGGGCATTTGCCATGATTTTTCAGTTTGCCATTTTCATCTTGAGACCCACACTTAGATCAGCATTACTGAGATCTTCGGGCATGGTGTTTAGTTCTTCCAAGGTCTCAGCTATTACAGCTATATCGTCGGCAAAACAAAGGTATATTAGGTACTCGCTATTGACATTGATGCGGTATCCTTTCCAGTCCAGAAGCTTAAAAATATCTGCCAACGCAGCGGTGATTAGTTTTGGAGAAATAACATCTCTTTGTCTCTAGTTTCGCTGCAATTGGATTGGATTTAAACTCTGGTTCTGTAATAGGATCGACATAGAGGCATTTCCGTATATGCACGTTAATACTTCAAAATACCTGTAGTCCACTTGGCACCTTTGGAGAGACTCCAACACTGTCTATGGCTCGTTCGAATCGAAAGCTTTCTCGTAGTCCACAAATGTTAAGCAAAGTGGCAGATGACGCAGCGTTGTGTGTGGTTTACAGTACTATATAGCCTCTTCAGAAACAAGCTTGTTCTGGAGGTTGGATGTCGTCAAACCTGCGGGCGAGACGATCCGTAATGACCCTAGAAAACAACTTGTAGATATACTGTATAACTGTTTAAACCCACATTCGTCACTGCATTAACCGATTCTGTCGTAGAACTTGATGCCAAGGTATGTTCTACTATCACCACCGCTTCTGAAGAGCTAGCTAGCTTAACGGCTTTTATAAATGTAACATACAGCTGCTGCATAATGACGTCACTTTTTAATCCACAAATAAATTTATCGAACAAGTTTTTGTTCAAATTAGTTGCCAATTCGCAATTACCAGCCAATTTTTTTAACTCTGCTACATACGCCGCTACGTTTTCCCTCCGTTCCGCTAACGACGATGGCGTTGGTTGTAAATGTTGACGCATTGTGCTGTCCGCTTCATCGAAGATTAATTCTGATGGTTTCTTCGGGCTCACTAGGTTAACGAGTAACTCGTAGGCTTCATCCCATTGTGATAATTAAAGTTTGCAAAATCATGTCGTCTGCAACCGTATTCACTTTAAATTAAGTTTCTAACTTATCCATATACGAAGATCACTGTCTGTTTTTGTATCATATTCACATAATGTACTGAATATACTGGCATTATATTCAGTACATTATGTGAATACACATAATGTACTGGCATTATCGTATAGGTATATATTTATTTATTTCAGTGTAATATCCTAGCAATGAGACACGAGTGTATGGTTGTATCGTTTGTTCCGCATTGCCCGCGCGGCGTCTTGAATACCTTAATTCTCAGAACAATCATATTTCTCATATTTCAAACGTACTCTACACAAAGTTACAAAATTTTATCTCTTCATAACATTAGTATAGATTGAAGTAATTTCGCCGTTGTAAATTTAAATTGATTATGTAGAAACTAGTTATTTGTTCAGCTGGCATAAATTGTTTTAAACTTCTGTGATCTCTAACATTGGGGTAGTTATTTACGGGATAGGTACCCTGTAACTTAATTTTAATGCGTTTCCGATATTTTAGCATTGTCGCGATGACACGTTTCACTTTCTGATTTACAGACCCTTGGCAAATGAAATATATGTCATACCAAATCAAAATAAGAAGAACACTATTTTTTAAGGACCTTTATGTTTTTAATTATTACTTTTTAAGGCAACAAACAGTGTTATACATAAAAAGAATGGTTATTATTACTGTGCAATTAAAAGAGATCAATAGTGCCTATACCATGTGTTATTATAGAGTGTGTATATTTAACATTTTGATTTCAGAATTCTGTACCTAGAAGGGAGTCTTTGACCCTATCGAGTATTGGCCATTTGGACCCGGCAGTCAGGGAAACTAACAGGGCTTATCTGAAGACCGTCGGCGCTAATATCGAGGAGACTTTAGCGGCACTGGTGGCAGTTCTAACAAGTTATGTTGAAGAATGTCGTAAGTTTACAATACATAAATAGTTATCACTTTCAAGCATATATCACTACTCCAAAATCCTAAACATTGTATTTAAAGGCATTGCGCACAAAGTGTGGTTATAACTTCTTAATTGAATAGTGATATAGCATTAATATACAGAGACGTAGCTACCGCTGTATCAGCCGTAACAATGATACGGGGCCCCAGGGGAAACGGGGGCCCCTAACGACTGTAAGTAAAAAAATTTACCCCACATTTGGGTCTCCCATTTAATTTTGATACAGGGCCCGCTACGCCATTGTTAATATAAGAGAAATTCAGTACACTTATATAGTATACAGTACGTTGGCGTAGTGGGTGTGCATTCAGTGTGCGATTGCGTAGGCTAAATGGCCTGTTATTGTGTGGGTGATCAAAAATTTTGTATCTCCAGCCCATCATTGCTTTCTAAGACACAAACCATTGGACTCGCATCGTGGTTTCCATTTTTACTATATGATTCTAGCCATAGAGAAGACCTGTGCCTCAGCAGTGGTATTAAGATTACGTTGTTGATAATGATGGAATTTTTGCTAAGCTCTATTTTGTCCTTCTACCCCCCCACTCAGTATACCAGTTCTCGCTATTATAGTGTACATTTTGCATACTTCTTTTTACTTTTATTCCTTTCTTCCATCCATTTCTCGATCTATTTTCTTCGCCGTCTATTTTCCTATGCTCTAATTTTCTTTCACTTATAATGAAAATGTTCATAAAATATGCCAGCTCCTGGTACTCTGAGATGGGACTCGAATCCACGACCTTTCGCAATCCGGGTGGCTGCTCTAACCACTGAGTTACACAGGACCTTAAAGGACTGAATAATTTTTTCAAGCACTTGATACTTCATTTGAGCGTATTTTTATCAATGTTCAGGCAATCCACCTAAACAGCCGAAAGAAATATTTGTACAACTGTTTAAAACTGTCGATTATAACACAGAACACGGAAAAGAGGTTAGAAAGGCGATCATGCGTCCGCCATACGTCAGACGAAATATTAAACCAATTATACAAAAGATGCACCCACTTGCATTTTAAACATGCCAATCAGAACGTTCCAGTATGACTATAACCAATCACGCTCAACCATAACATACATCTAGAGTGCGTAATAAACATGTAATAGCCATTTTAATTTGACATATTACACTAGTGATTGACATAAGTTATTTACTATCGATATTGAAAAACAACAAGCCAATAAATTGAAAGGATACTGGAGTAATGATTTCTTTATATTATTTTGGATATATATTGAATTTTATTGATTAAATGTGACATTATTTTTTTTTCTTTAGATATTAATTGTTAATTAGTTGTTTGATTCGGTCATATTTAAACCACTTCCTAATTTTGAACTAACATTGAATCGGTACTAGTCGTGCTTAAATATTTATTTGCATATAAGTATGTTTGTTTACAAATAATAATAGTAGGTATTTTTTTTACGTTACGTTTCTCGATTTCGTATCAAGTAAACATGATCGGCAACATCGCTTAAATGAAACTAGTAATATTGACAAACATAATGTAAATAAGGCATTCAAAATTAAAAAAAAATACAATTAGTACAATAAATGCTATTGGAAATTACCTCGAATATTAAAATATTGTTGTTAATGGTTCAAAATTAAAAAAGAAACTAATTTTCTGTTAAAATATTAAGAATATAAAAACAGATTGTTTCGCTACACCACACTCATTATTAAATTAATATACAAACGCATACCAAACGAAGTCAATATGGTAGTCAAGAACAAATTTATCTTTTATTACCACTAATTTTATCGTCCTTACTTTTATTTAGTTTTTCCTTACTAACACTTCAAGAATCGATTAAATGTTTCCTGGTACTTCACTAGCCATCTACCGCAATCTATTATGTTACTATTTAAAACGGTGATTTCGCGATGTTCTTTACATTACGTGCTTAGTACGACGCAATGAAATAAATATGCGTACTTCTCCAGCAATTTTTATTTTCTTGGAAATATTTTTTGTGATTCACATTTTTTATAACATTTCACGAATTTCAACTAAAAATACTAAATTTGAGAAGTGTTCTACTTACTAATGGAAATAAATCCTTCTTTTGAACCTACTTGAGGATGGGCTTCTTGTTTTGCAATTAATAACTGCGCAAGTCGGCATTTTTAACACTTTTAGTGGCATATTTCACAGTACTTGCAGCGCACGCGGTGAAGCTACGATCCTGTACATTTGTCCAGGATCGTGGCTATACTGCCACGCCCACAAGGCCCTTCTAACGTCTTTCTGTGTTCTGTGGATTATAATGACAATTTGTTCTACATTGTCCGCGTGACATTATTTAAAAATAGAAAGTATAGATGCAAAATGCAAGTGATAATATATGTATATATGCGTATATATATAAAGAATCCCCAAAATATTGTTAAAATAATTTTATAACTTTTAGGTTGTAAATTTATGGCATATGTTTTTGGAAAAGGTATATGTTTAGTGTGCGCGGGAGTGCTAGTCACCGCCAGAGGTATGTGAGCGGCAGGACGGGGGAGGTAAATGAACGTCAAGCTGACTCAGTTCTGCCGTCGACCGCTGTGACAGTTACACATTTAGTTGTTTGTGCCACTTTGTTCGAAACATACATGAGATAAAATATCCTAAGAGAAGTGAAAAATGTTATTTACAATTTATTCACTGTATACAATCCGTTGGTGAGAAGCCGTTATGTTATCTGGGCTCCGCATAAAACTAAATATTGTGTCACGTTGGACCGAATACAGAATAAATTTACTAGATATTTATATTGGCGATTGTATGGGGTACATCCATTCTATCCTTTGATGTATGCTACATTATTTGTTAACGGTATGGTGGGATATAGCGAATTAAGAATGCGAAGGGAAGTAGCCTTGTTTACGTATTTATTTAAAGTAATTAGAGGAAAATGGTAAACGCACGAATATTGGGTATGATAGGGTTAAATGTCCCGGACAGATACATTGAGCGGCGGCAACTCAACTCAACTCAACTGGTGTGTACTGCGCACCCTCTATAGCCGAGAAAATCGACCTTTTCTTGTGTTCACTGAGTGAATTCATAAAAGTAGAATTATATGTCATTTGTTGTTATTAACTATTTTTTTTAAACTGTTTCTCTATTGTATTGGGTATCACCTGTTAAAATAGATGTTAGAGAGTATAGAATATGTATGTAGTGTATAAATTATATAAATTCATCATTGGACGACAAAATTCCAATTATAACAAGATTGTTTTCTAAATTCACTTTACAAAAATAGCAAAAGTGTGACGACCACGTACAAAATAAGGCGGTGACTAGCATTTCCGCGCACACTATAATACTAGCTTTCCACCAGCGGGATAAAAATTATCCTATCATCTAAGTCAGCTAATACCCTATCTGTATACCAAATGTCATCAAAATCTGTTCAGTAGTTTCGGCGTAATTGATTGACAAACATCCAAACAAAGAAACTCACACATATATTTATTTTTATTGAAATTAGGTTTACTCATTGTGAAAATAATAATATCGGTTGAACCATAACAAGTAACAACAAAACTTAAAAATAACAATCGAAAACAACAAATATGTGTGATCTCAACACAACCCAATTCAATAAGAGTACTCGTCAACCAGTGTTTATGTGTAACCGGTACTGATTTTTGAACGCATTTACGTCACCAAAATGGCGCCCGGGTGCATTAGCAATTTGTAGGGATTATGCACTGGGAAATCTTCTTAATTTTATTAGTTCTTTTCTTTAAATATATATTTCTCTGTGATTTGTTCTATTTATTATTTTTCTGTTATATTTCTTACGCATAGGCGCCATTACTGACGATGACTTGGAGGTCATAAAGCGTCATACTGACTCGGTACGGCGCGCTGCTGACGAAGCGTCGCGCTGGTTACGTGTTTCGCACGCGGCGCTGCGGCTTCGGTTTGAAGCGCCGCATTTCGCGAGAGAACAGGCCGCGCTCCAAACTAGAAGGGATACATGTTTCTCGCAAGCGGTGAGATACTATTTATTATGTTGGAGTTTAACCCTTTGCATAGATTCCAGAAAATACAATATGAACTTAATTTAACAATGAGTCAGTTAAAAAAAGACAATAAAAAATTATAAATTAATATTTATGTGCAGGATATTCAATCTTATATTAACGTTTTTTCCATCTTTAACTAACCACGTTACTCCTTATGATAACCCTATTGTACCCGAAGGTCGGTGACCGTTTTATTTTTGTTAATATTCCTACAGTTTGTTTACTAATTTAAAAATGAATATGATAATAATATTTTAGGTACATAATAAAATTAATATTGAATTGAACTAGGTATAGTCAGGACTATCTATCGAAACGTCTAATAACTAGTAAACTTAGCGAGTGTGTTAGGCTCTTGAAGATATCAGAGGCGATACGAAATGTAGGCAGTTACGTCATAAACTTTAACCATCTTTGCATGTAACTGGAACTTGAGTACTTAGTTTGAACTATTGGTCGCTACGACGAAATTGAGATGTGTTGACTTATTTTAGTCGGATAATGTTTTTAAACCCGGTACTGAACTTGGTCCTCGTTTTATATAAGACCGTAAACTTTACCGAAGTAATGGAGATAGGTCTTGTAATCTTCTCTCGCCTTACAATGTGATTTACTCGCTCGTGGTTAGACGGTAATTAAAGTAAATTTTCCAGTTGGCCACGGTGACTACTGGACTTCTATGTTGGCTATGTTCCACACCTGGTGACGTAATAGTGAAGCTTCTTGGCAGCGGTCTCGGACCACTGTGTGCCTTTGAAGGTCTACTCAGTCTGTATTCTACTGAGAAGGCAATGTGGGGTGATATGGTGGTCGCTGTGGAAGACTTGCAGACGGTCGTGTTTGCCCTCACTAAAGTGGGGCACAGGTGAGCGTGTTTTTTATAATTTTAAGGCTAAATTGTTTTTAACCACAATTGCTCAAAACTCAAATGATGAATTGCAATCGTGTCATTGTTTTGTTACAGTAATTCCGCCATTCCACAAGTGACAGGCACCAGAGGTTCATTGACCGTTAATATACCTATATCAGACTCTCTCTATACGAAATTTGCGTCCAAAGAGGTAAGAAGATTATATAGATGGATAGATTATGTAGAATATATTTAGTTAATTCGCCATTATTGTGTCATAATGGCGAATTAACTAAATATAATTACTAGTTAGTGTCTTATATGTCCTGGTTGGAAAAAATAGATAGATTCTGATAAGCAAAAAGAATCATTGAATATATGTTTTTGCGATTGATCTTCGACACATTCAAGGCGTTATCGTTTTCTAGTTACCGGCTTGTAGTGATGTGCTAGGCTGGTTTTATAATTAACGAAGGAACGGAAATGACTATCTTTGGTCCATTCGTTTCCTGCAAAATCAACTTTTGGTGTTTTCTTTTTTTTATTAAAATACTTTGCTCATTGGCTCGATAATATTTTATGCATCGATTTTACGACTAATAAATATATTTAAAAATAAAAAAAAAAATTTACATGCATTTTATTTTGGTCTGACTAAAATAATAAAAATAAGTAAAAAAGATAGAGATTTGGCTACCAGGTAATTTCAAAAGAAACCACAAAGACACACCGTCACAGCCGTATATTAGTATTCTCACTGAAGACTAACATTTGTTTTCGTAAGTCTAAAAGTATGAATGACATTTAATTAAAAACTGAGAATTTAGGAAATAAATACGCCAAAAAGGTTTGCTTAGCAGGTCACCAACAATATGAAATCAATCGGTCATAGTTTTTACTCTCGATGCGTATTTTTATGGGAACGTAAACGGCAATACAAGAAAGCCTTAACATAATGTATTTATTTCAGCATCTGAAGTTCACCATAACAGCTGTATTCTTCAACGTGGGCATCAACGAGAAAGCCTCATTAGCTGAAGCGTTGGGTGAGACGACGCCACAATATCATTCGAACAGTGACAACCTGGACCGTATCAACAAGTATTGTCAGAAATATGGGAAAGTGTTCCCTGCTGATCATCTCGCTGCTAGTAGAGGTACTAACATTATTATATTATACTTGTACTGATGCAGTGATCTCTACAATAATATGTCATTTTAACTCGACTAATGACGGCTAACGCGTTTGAAAATGCCGCTAGAAGCGGTAGTGTAGAGCGAGGTCTTGTTCAATATCATACTTTGCCAATGAGCTACGAGTTTCTTTTCAAATAAACAATTTTTGGGTCATTTTGGCGATATTTGGGGTAACTGAGATTCATCAAAGCAATTATGAATCACGGTTCATCGAATGTCAGTGCTCTTTATAAACAGCTAAGAAAAAGAGATGAGAAATACTGGTTTCAAGCTAGTTGGGAAGTTAGTGTTTATTTTGCGTGCTCGACATTTTTAATACAAAAAAACGGTAGCCCTTATTTGTGGAGCTATTTTTGCCACCTCGTTTCTACATCAGATGGCGATGGTACAACGGTATCATTTTTCAGCGTCTTCAAGGACGAAGCCCCTACAGGAAGTGATGGAGAATCTAAGGATAGCAGTGCACAAGAAAGTGCCAAAGAACGTGGAGGTGTTACACTTGGCTGCACTGGCCACTCGTCTGATGAACGGCATCAGGTTCACGTCGTGTAAGAGCGCGAAGGATAGAACGGGAATGTCTGTCACACTCGAACAGTGCTCGATACTCGCCAGCGAGTACCATCTCGCTGAGCACGAGATGCAGAAGGCTTTGAATATAATGCGCAGGTGAGATTTCATTATATATTTTCACCGACGGCTTATGTGCTTGATAAACAGTTCAGATTCCAATTAACATCAATTGTCAATTTTAAAGTCAGGCCAGGCTTCTAGTAAATATTTACCAAAATAACTCGAGATAATATCAATGTATAAAATTAAATAAGACTTTATTTTATCGCGTCGTCGTCTTTTCCATTTACCTTATTGTCCGATATTATTAGTTCAATGTGTTCCTCACACATATGCGCTGACAGATATATATAATAATATTGTATTACAGTTTGATTGTTCAATGGCAAAGTGTAAGTAGTTGATATTCCATTGAGATGCGATTGTTACGTAAATGTTAGTGAAATTGCTGATTTTTTTTCTCCATAATACATGATGATAACGTTTATATCACTTTTATGTCCCTACAGCGGGGGCTCAAGCATTCCTTATTTTTGTTCAGCTCAGTGTATAGTTTGTTTAAAAATAGTTTTTATTTAATGAGTAGTACGCGTAAAATTTAGGTACAGTATATAATAACAAGGGTATAGTGTTTTCTTTAGACGTAATTAGGGCATCGACTCTTAAGCTAATAGTCATTACACTTACAGCGAGGGTTGCCGTAGGGAAAACACACTGAAGAATATAGGGGTGAGGAAATATGCGTTCACCAAGAAGCAGGTGGCATCCCTGCCAGAAGACTATAGGCCTCCGCCTGGCACGTACGGCTCCTCGCACACGTAATAACGAGACTATCATGTAGTACTGTTGAAAATTAATATTGAAACTGTAAGTGAAATGTTATCGAACTTAGCATTTCAATATAATATAATCCATGAATACTAACGATATAACATATTAAATTAAATTCATAGGAGGGGGATATTAAATTATGAATTACGGGTAAAGAAAGGTAATAGAGATCGGTATTATTAACTAAATATTGTAAAATCGAATTAGATGAAAAATTAAATAGAAAAAATATATCATTGAATTTACTAATTTGACTAGTGAGTAACGTTGAAAATTGTGGTACTTAAATAACTTAACAATATATGCCACCATGTTATGTAAGGTATTAGTTCTGTTTGGCAAGATTTGTCGCCATTTACTTAATAGCTATGTGATGATATTGTAAGATATTATATATTCCCAAAGTATGAACACAGTGATTGTTATGTTCACCTATGAATAGCTTTAATACAAACATAGAAAAAAATATTGTGTACTTAATGGCATATCTAAATTTAAGATTTATTTATTAATACACTTCCCTAGTGATCTGAATGTTAAAATTTATATTAATTTAGCTACCTATACATAGACATTTAAATAGTGCACCAATTTTGAGTCTTGTTACGGTAATCACAGACTTTTTTTATGTTTGTCTACTCGTTAGTATATCAATAAGATCTCGCAGATATAAAAGATAAAAAGTTTCAGGTTTAAATATTACGTAATGTATTTTTACCGGCTTTATCGTTACCTACGTGTTCTCATATCAGCAGTGCCTGTTAGTTTGAAATGAACTTGTCGGTTTCTATTGATTATAAACAAAGTTTGGTATAGTTTACGCAATTCTAGCGATGGTACTACCGGGCTGACATCAGATCGACTAGCTCTGTGTTATTACTAGAAGTAAATGAGGAAGTATTTAAAAAAAAACGAAAGCATTAATAAGCACTAGATGGCGACTCTAGCAAAAGCTGATTTTTGCAGGAAACGAATGGACCAAAGACAGTCATTTCCGTTCCTTTTAACTAAAATATTAAAAAATTGAAATTTGAAAAGTTCGAAACTTAGATATCAAAACAAGTACGAAAAACTGCAAATAGAATATGAGTTGATTATTGTGTTTTAAAAATTTAATTCTAAACATGAAAGAAAACCGGAAAGGTTGTCATTGAGAAATCAAGAACGTGCCGTAGCGACATCTAGTTTTATTTCCGGAACTAATGATTTATTTTAAATACTTCCTCATTAAATTACTAATTTATTTTAAAATTAAAGTAGTTGGCGCTGCTGAAATGGCGGCCACTGCCGTTATAAAAACAATATATGCACATTTAACTGGAAATATAATATATTTACTGCACTGACGGTCAGTTGCACAAACGTCCATTAAGGTTTAATGATGCCTTTGAACCTCTAATGAATGTCAAATTTGTATGGGTAATGACGCTTTAAACTAATTAAAATTTTAATGGCCGTTTATACAACCGATTGTGAATATTGAAAATTTAATGTCTGTTTTAATTGGAGGCATATAATAATAGATACACATATTTTAAGCAAATATTTACACATAATAATTTTTTATTTTAGCGTTCAACGGCGCTCGTCCATTATATTATTTGTAATGTTACGATTTCTTTTGGCATAATTTTAGATGCTTATGTTTATTGTACGCAACATTATTATAGCCAAAGAAAGTAGTTACTGATTAGTAGTTACTAGTTGCATTAACCTCTAGCCATATGCTTAAATTATTAATTCCTATTATACGTTATGAGATCTCTATATCGTTAAATTAACAGATGGCATAATTTTATAAAGTTTGATTATAACCAACGGTGTTGCCATAAAATGATATGCCAAAATCGTGCACATAGTTAAGAAAAATGGGGGTATGAATTTATTTTTCGATATTGTGAAATGTAGATGCGTAGTTATATATGCATAATCTGTATTTATTTATAACGAAGAACTGGATGTTAAATTGATAGTTCCGGTGCGTTTGTTTTACATCTTTTCTAGTACAAAAAAGACAGTGAGATTTGCTTTATTTTTTTACTTGATCAGGCCAGGTGTGTGTCCGTTTAACTCTAGTATAGTTTGACATGTCTTTTGGTGGATAAACTTGGTATACATGACTAAGTTCAGCTGACAAATCCATCATCATCACCAGCCCTTTTACGTCCCCACTGCAGGGGATCAGACCTTCCTTATGGATGGTTAAGGAGGAGAACAAATCCATAATCATCATTATTTATTATCGGTACTAAAGTAGATGACAAAGCAATAAAATGAAAGTAAATGTCGCTAGTATATAGTATCCTTTGGCTAGTGTGTTAAGCTGTCGCACACCTGATTTCTTTTTTGTACACTTAGCATAACCCACTATCAAATTTCAATCTGTTTAAATGTTTTGAAATTATTATAACTGAGGATTATTTAAGAAAGATTCCCTTATCTTAGAAAATACGTGAAAAAAAATTTTAAAGGGGCTAAGCATGAGGCAGCTAAATAAAAATCAATAATAAAAGAGAAATAGTACTAGTTATCAGTTGTGTTTAAAATAATATTATGAAACGCTTTTTGTCCTTGTCTCACCCGTGTGACTTACGTTTTGGTAGAATATGACGTTACGCTTGAGTATATTTCTATACTTGTCTAATCGACATTGTAATTTCTTAGTTAATTATTGATACACATGATTTATGTATATATTTTGTTAATAATATTTTTAATTTACAGCAAGTATTGCTTCGATAAAAATAGTAAACTGTATTTTTGTAGGATAAATATTTTTGATCACATTCAATGCATAGTTCCACAAATGTAATAAGGATTCCTATATGCTAATTAAGGGTATATTGTACCTGTGCCAAATTCGTTCCAGTATTACTTATAAGTGCTTCCACATAAATCGTTCAGCCTCGCGGACGATGCAGTCAGTGTGAATATGTCTTTATGCGAGGCGATGACGAAAATCTATACTATCGCATTTTAATTATTGACTTTGTGACTTAAAATTTTTCCTAGGGACATTACTTATTCTATAAAGTACTTAATTTTGAAATATTATAAAAGTTTGGCTACTGTTTCTTTATGCAAGATTGATTCATGCAATCTGTAAGCTCGTAAATACTTTAAGAGTTTATAGGTAACACAGCAACTCTTTGATTTCCAAAATATTATAATGAACAATCTTATCGCCATAATAATATTTAAGGTCCTATTATTGAAGCATTATTTATTGAAATATATATTTGATATAAACGAAAATACATTCTATTATCACATCTTACATTTAATAGAAAGGCAATATGATAATTCTAACATTGTACTCTAACCCTTACAATAGTCAGTGCCAAACGTATGTGAAGATCTAGTTTTTGAATGAAATAGTGAATTTAATATTGATAGTCGGTAATATACAGATATTTTGTATAGAAGTTAGACTACTTTATATTTGAATTAGAAAGTTAGCAAGTAAATACGAAAATAGTTGCTAGCGAAATACACCTAAATAAGATTTACATTACTTCCCAAATGAAATTGTCTGGTATTTATGTATTGAGTTTAAGCTATTTTAAAACACATTTTTTTTTTTTTAATTCTCATGTATTAGGTTTTACTTTTGACACAACCGAAGTTGTCGATAATAAGCATGACCGGCGCGACGCCGGAATGTGTGGTCGGTGGGTTAAATGTCGAACTTGATGTATTTGTGTGTCAAATATATAAGGGAGCAGGTTTATCAAAAACACATGCGTGGATCTCACTGTGATTACGTTATATGAATACTTGATATATTTTGTTTTGGGATGTTGTTCGGGATAGAATTAATGTCAATTGAGTTTAGAATCAAACAGTTATCCCGTAGATATACAGCACTCCTACTTCCAGTCACTGAAATCCTAAATAAATTCACATCACGAATCGAAGCCGAAGCGATCTCGTATTATATGAATATATGCTCGTATTATATGAAGCATGCCGGAACCGGCAGCTTGCCGCGTATTAATAGGGGCAATAGTCGAACCTTTTGTGACATTTCTAAAAAAAATCTTGAAGCTACCCGTCCCTTTCCCCTAGTGGCTTATTCTTTCCTGCTGTCGCACATCCTAGTTTACTCATTACTTATCCCTGGTGCGATTCAAAAGACTACAACGCCATCTGACCACGTGTAGCGCAAATATCGGAGCGCTGTGTACTGGCGCGTAGTTGCCACTAGATTCTATATGGCAATATCCTCGCTCCGTGACACTAACATGCCATAGAGTAGAATATATGTAGAATTGCGAGGCGTCCGGATAAAGCCTGACATAGTTAGGCTTTTTGATTGCGTGTCCGGTCAAAATAAACGGTGCCCGCTTGATGAATCATTTTCATTTCGAAAGTCACTTCAAATAATGTACCGATTTTGCGTTTGATTTTTATCTAGATTTCAATAAAATTCAAGAACGGTTATAGTAATTATGAGGGAACTTGGTTTTTACAGTTATATATTAAAATAAGTCAAAAAATCCTCGACAATGTAGGGTGCTCAGCCTTAGGTATGCGTGTCGTAAGCGGCGACCAAAGTATTGAATAATAAGAATGGATAGCAGTGACACTTTCTAGCTTTGCACACTACAATAAGAGATGTCTAATATATAAATATATATATTAGTATTTTAGGCTTTTCTTGAGTAACCATTGATGTAATATGATAATATATCAGGGTGCGGTACCTAGGTAATTTATTGTCCTTTTCCTTCGAAGTTACCTCTGTAACTAACACGCTATTCTGTTAAAGAAAAATTGACGTATCACCTAATTATCATTATCTATCTATCTTTTTACTAATAATTTTTTATAGTTGTTCGATTGTGAGCTGAACAATATAAAATTTTATGTCTAATAGCTAACAGATGTTCTCCAATTTTTAAGACAATAGGTGTCTAATTATTGCCCCACTTCTATATCGCTAGACGCTTTAAAAATCTAAAATATATGACAGTAATACGATTGGATGC